TTGACAATGTTGTTATTGGTCATGAAGTATTTCATTTCCTTAACAGGCATAGGTCATGTAATATCCCGAGATATTATCCGTATAAATTACGTTTAATTCCGATATAGTAACGTTATTGTTTATTATTTTCGGAATTAAATTAAGTTCAGTCGGGATTACGGAAATTTATTTTCGGCGTTCCGTTTACGTCCGAAATAATTTTGGTAATTAAGTAGTATGTTTAATTTAACAATTAAACATCATTTGAGTAATTAATTGGGATTAATCACCATCATTAGCTCTAAAACCTAAATAGCCGTGGGTTAAAGAATGGAAATTGCCCAAAAATTTTCTAAGTCCGTAAGCCACTTCTTAAGCATGAAGAAAGGTTTATTAACCAATTATTTTGAGCAACTTGTCAAAGCATGAGATAGCTTAGTCATCATAGGGTGGACAAGAGAGAAACAAGTGTTAAAAGGGGGAGTAGCCACGCCATGGCTACATCATCACCCCATCTCGGCGGCTAGGTATAAAAGGAGGCATTTGGACCAAAATTTTCCCACAATTTTTCCCTATAAGCTTCAGCCTACACCTCTTCCCTTCCATCAGCAACTAGTTCAATCAAAACTTCCCAAAATTCATAGTAATCGCACGGCCAAATTGAGAAGCAACCGCACGGCGAGAGCAAGTAAGGAAGCACGCGTTGTTTTCCGATTTCCGTCGAGCGTTCAGAAAGGTAAAGCTCTCTTCAGTCCATAGACTTGATGATTAGGTCATCTTGTAGTTAAGAGTTCAGATAAAATGTCGGAAATTTCAGATTTGGCCATGAAAAGCCGAACATATTTGAGTAGGGTTATGCCCGCACAAAGTTTGAATTTTTCCGGCAAGTCCCGAACATTTATTAGTTGTTCAGCCTCTAATTAAAGTATATTGTGCAATAGAGTGTAGTTGGCCGATTAAAAATCGAGGATTGCCGGTGAATTGGCCAAAGCCGTAGCTAGTGCCGATCGCACGCGGCTACGGACGACCATGAGGCATGAGTTCGTAAGCTGAGCATGAGCCATGAGCATTTAGTGTTTATTTAGCCTTAATTCAGTTAATCATGTTCAGTCATTTGAGTGTTGTCGGGTAAAAGTGAAGTTTTGCCGATGAAAGGCCCCAGCCGGCACCCCCGCGCCTATCGCGCGTAGCCTCGGGTAGCCGTGGGCCGAGGCATGCTGTTTCAGTCTTGATCAGTTCTCTCGTGTGATTAAGTCTTAATTCATTTCAGTATATTGATCATGTGATCAGATTCTGAAGTTGTCGAGTAAAAGTGGCTATTTGGCCGAGAGATGACCGAGGCCGTAGGCA